GTTTAATATATTTATGCACATGTTCAATCAAGTTACATCACCTTATGTCTTCTAGTTCATCTTATTATGATTTTATTTAGAAGATTCTGTAGAGAAAAATGTTAATAATATATATTTTTTAATATTATATAATAATAATAATAATATCTTTAAAAAAACTAAATAATTTTATTAAATTTTTTTTTTCGTCCCTGGAGTATCCATCGTCGATAACAGTGACTAATCTTATCGCTACGTTTGAGACACCTCAAAGGGTGGGATAGCTGGTCCCAAGATTTAACGCGACTGCATACACAAGACAAATTCAAATTCTTGACCTTGCTTAAGCGTGGATCAACGCTAAATCACACGCTTGCTTGAGATTTTAATTAATAAGAAAAAGTGCATCGGAAAAAGAGTAACAAAAAGTATGTTCTTAACATTAACACTCTTATATGATACTATTATTGCTTCTTTTTTTTTATCCGTTGATATTATTATTACTATTTTGAAAAGGAAAATATTAATTAGATTAAATTTTTTATATTAAAATTTGTTCATAGACTTGTCTTTTTTAATAATGGTGTCTAGCTCAATTGGTTCTGTGTGAGTGTTATAAATTCTTTAGTACCAAGTTGAATTCTTAATGATAAAATAAATAGAATTATCTTTCTTAATATATATTTTATTCAATTGAAATTAAATATTAATATAGATATTGTATTAACAATAGAGAATTGAAATTGTTGATACAAGAATAATCGATTATTAGTATAAATATTATAAATATATATTAAGAATATTACATATTATACTAATAAATAATTATATTAATATGAAATATTGATATACCATTATTATATACCATATAATCGGTAGAGTATATTTTATTATTAGTGAATATTCATAATTCATAATAATTATATTTGTAAGAACATCAACAACATATGATATCATATGTATCACTTGTTTAAGTAATTGTGTCTTAATTTTGGTTTTGTTTTTTTATTAAAATTGACTTATATGTCTTATTTTTATTAAAATTTACTTATAAGCTTTATATTTATATACAATATGCTAGCTTATGAATAAAAAATCATTATACATGTAGCAAATATTGCTTAAGAGTTGCATAAAATGTTATGATAGTATAGACTTAATAAAATAAAAATAAGATACCTAATTAAATAATTTATATCATAGATGCTCTAACACATTAGTAGGACATTGCTGCTATTATGTATAGTGGCAGTAATACTCTTTAAAAAAATATTTTTAGAATTAGTTAGAATATTGTTATTTAATTTTTTAAATTTATTTTATTTAAGAGTTTATTGTGTATAGTGGTAGGACATTGTAGTAGTAATTATTTAAAATATGTTTATTATTTGCGGAGATTACTTTGATGATTAACAGATCTATTATACACTATTTTTCTAATCGCAAAAAAAATAATCTACCATACACTTTATACCGTATGGAAGCCGAGCAGGCCGAACACCCTAGTCTATAACTGAATACGCCGAGTACCCGAACCTATGACTGACTGAACCGAACACCCGAGCTAACCGACCACTAACGGAACGGAACGTGTCGGTATGCTCGGCCTAGGCATGGATTTATACCAAGGTGATTATGAAAAGATTAATTTACGTAATATGCCGATTTAGTCCCCTAATTTTTCGGGGCCTAGTCCTTAATCACGGCCCAATAAGAAACACTATAAATAGACCCCCTTTAAGGTACGTAACTAGATTTTCAACTACCGCATTTAATACGCCGAACACTTACTTGAGCGTTGGAGTGTCATTGCAGGCACCCCCCTCATTTTGGACTACTCTGAGAAGGACGAAAAGACCTAAACCCCGGACCCGACCCGCTACAGCAAGGATAATTGGAGTGTATACTAACATACAAACACACTTAATTTCAAAATCATATATTTTTCATGAATAATCAAAAACATATTTAAAAGCATATCGACTTAATTAGAATTCAAAAGGTTCATGTGCTTGGAGTATTACTATAGTCGCGCGGAATTAATAGTATGTAGTATGTACATGTTCTAAAGCTCACATGATACTAATTTTTACGAATAAAAATAAATAAATAAAAGAATTCACGTACTGGACTTGCCACTATTTATCAACCAATTTCAATTGCAAGGAAACATGATACATCAAAAGGCAAAAAAAAAACATACACAATTTCCACGTACAGACATTAAATGGCAATTCTAATTAGCTTTATTTCAATCAGTAATATTACAAATAAATTTGCAGCAAAAGATAAAAAAAAATCCTAATTTTAATAAAATTAGGCTTCATACGAAACTTATAAAAATAGCATTTATAGAAAATCATATAATTTTATAATGCATGCTCATGTTCTCATACGTAAATTGTAGTTTTTAATTTCTAAAGACTTCAATGATTAAAGTCAAATATAGGAATATACAAGTTAATGTTTTTATTCTATCAAGAAAGAGCACCTTAGGGATGTTTTTCTTTGATTAATGCATAAAGAAAGCAATATTTTGTCTTATTGAATCTTCTTTCTAGTATTTTTTTTCATTATTTTGTTGGTTATGATTGATAGAATTCTTTTATGTTAGGAAAGAGATTTATTTTAAGTTATAGTACGCATTATCCTTTAAATCATCATTTCCATGAAATATTAGTTATTTTTAAAAATTGTTTTAAATTCATTTATAATATAATCTTTGATTATTTAATTAATTATTTATTAGTTTCCTAACAAGTTATATGTAGCTCACATGATATATTAAATCTTACAAATCCCACATTCAATAGAGGACTTATTTGTTATGAATCTTCTAAACTTCTTTCTCTTCATTCTCACCTTTCTTCAAGTTTTAATTTCTCAAAAATACCTCACAATATATTAAAGATGAATTCTATAAATCATCATTGCTTCATGTGATCTATGGTAAACCACAAATAATTAATAACCTAAGATTAATTTAATTTTCAGTAATTATGATGGACCATCCCACACAACTTTCTCCCCCTCTTAGCAACCCTCATGACTCTCATTGTCTGAACCTCAACAACCGCCATCACTCTAACACATATGCATTGATCGGCATAGCCATAAAATTGATATTGGCGTCTACTACGATGAGGTTACACTCTGGATTTTCTCTCGTTGGTGTCAACTGTAACCCTTGCCCCTTTACGCAGTTGTAATATATAAGGATCAAAATCCTCTGTCTCCAACCTCTGTCCCCAAATCTTGTCCCTCCAATCACAAAATGTCACATCATTACTTTTAATTTTTAAAAAATGTAACCATTTTGTTACGATTTGTTGTTGAATCGTTGAGCAGTTCAACATGACTTTTTCCCATGGCCTTTACCACCACCATGCTTTCGTGGAGTGTTGTTGAGTTTGGTGGGTCATGAAGGGTGAGTTGCAGAATGCAAGAAAAGCCATTCGTTGGGCCACAAATTATCTTCTCAAAGCCATTGCACGTCCAGACACCATTTATGTTCAGGTTACTCTTCTCTTCCCAGTAGTTCCATTTCTTTTGTCATTCTTGTGTTATGTTAAAAGATATATTACTATGGAGGTGTTATTAATGGGTACGTGTTTTTGCAGGTGGGAGATGCAGGAGATGCAGTGAAGGACCACGCTTATTGGGAGACACCTGAGGACATGGACACCCCAACGTTCCAACAATGAATCGTAACAGAATTGGTTACATTTTTTAAAAATCAAAATTAAAATTAAAAGTAATGATGTGACATTTTGTGATTGGATGAACAGGATTTAGGGACAGTAGTTGGAGATAGAGGATTTTGATTCATATATAGATAGTAATTTTTTTAATTCTTATATTTTATTAATTTTATAAAAAGTTGAACAAAACAATCAAGGGTGAAGATTTAACTTTTCTTTTTTACCAGACTATAGACAATCTACATCCCATCATACACAATTCACATACTAGTTAATGCTAATTTATATTAACAATACATTTCATAGTTTCACATATATTATTCGAGAAGAGATTCATTTACTTTAAGAGTAAGTCTCAATAAATTTATTTTATTCAATAATTTGTTTTTATATCAATTTAACAATGAAACTGTTGAAATTAAAAAATTTTAATGCATAAATTAAGTTTATATTAAAAAAAATAAAAATTATATTTCATTAATTTAATTTAATAAATTATTATAAAATATTTTATATGTTAATTTAAATTTATATAATAAAATATCATATAATTTTTTTTAAATTTATAAATTTAAAAAAAATTATATGATATTTTATTATATAAATTTAAATTAACATATAAAATATTTTATATGTTAATTTAAATTTATATAATAAAATATCATATAATTTTTTTTAAATTTATAAATTTAATTTTAATTAAAAAATTAATTTAATGATCGAATCATCAAACATTCATCTTCTTACAATAACGGTATCAAGTCTTTCATTAACTCATGATCCCATATAAAATAAAATTTTCATCACTAAGGTATATGCTTACTAAAGCTTTCAATTCATTCCTCATATTGAATTTTGCTTTACAAATTCTTACTAATGGTGGTGAAATTCGAATTTATTGTCCCTCGGGTACATCCGATATAATATTATCTCCTAACATTAATTCAATCTTACTAATTTATTAAATCAATAAGTTTAATTTAAACCGAATCAAATGATATAAACTGAGTTCATGTTTAGTTTTAAAATATTGCTAATGACAAAATGGAAATTATCTTATACAAGGAATAATATTTTATAAATAATTTGTCAATCGTGCACAATCTGCAAAGACACTAAGAATTTTATTTATTTGAAGTTACCCAATCAGATCAGCTTTAAGTGTTCCATAAAAATTCATATGTTGAGTAAGTTTTAGCAAAATAACTAAATAAGTAAAAAACTTCTTTATCTAAAAAAAACTATAAATACAAAATATAATCTATCACTTAGTCCTATGTTGTATCCATTGCTGTTGGAAAGAACATGTTACGGAAGACGTCCAAGTCACGAGTGATGTGTTGCCATGTTGTGAGTTGTGACAAGTCTGGAGGGGTGAATTTAAGGAAATGTTTTGGTCCTAGAATTCGGATTTATGTTGTTAGGTTGGTACGTACTAGGATTAAGGAATAACGATTTGTGGAATAAGTTAGTGGCCCCCATTTCAATTTGCAACTACTAATGCATTCGTAGTTTCAACCTCGTCAATGCCACTACATTTTGATTTTGTTGCCAACCTCATCTAGGGTTCCTCTGTTTCTTCACAGCAATGGCCAAGAAGAGGACCAACAGGAAGACCCAAATGACAATTCCCATTCCAAAACACTCTCAACAGCCAAGAAGCTCACCTCCCAAACGCCGCACTGATTTCTCTGTGTTCACTCGCACTCCCTCTTCCTTCTCCAACCCTTTTTCAGGTACCTTTTACGCCTCTTATCATTTATCAATAAGGGCTTCTCAATTTTAGGATTTACATAAGCTAGCCTAGACTTTCTTGAATTTGTTCTGGCTACAAAATTTGCTTGTTCATTAAGTGTTTTTTTTTTTTTTGTTTGTCACCAATTCATGTAGCGTGTGCAATTCCCCGGTATGGGTACATCATAAAATTCTCGTTCTACTTTTTGTTGGGTGAATTGAATTGTCAAGTTTTCTTAGTCAGACAAGTAATTCCTAATGATATTATAAAATCCCCTTCCTTGATCAGAGGCAGTATGATTTCCTGTCTATGTCATGGCTTCATTGACGATGATTTCTTTTAAAATTTGTTAGGATGGTAGTTTGTTAGCAATGTGGTTGAGGTATGAAATAACTACGTGTATGTGCTTGTTGCTTTGACAAGTTCCATGTTATTACAATGGAATGAAATCATTGTTTTGTCGGTATGCTGCTTGGTTTGTGCATATTGAAATTGGTTATAACTGTTTGTGTGTTGGAGGAAATGTGTAGGATGATGAACACTGTTAAGTTTAATTCCTTGATTTTAGTACATATCCAAAGTCACTTGCACCAACCTTTTAAGGTTAAGTGCCTCCATTGAGCTAATATGTATCTGATAGAGCTTGTCAAGATTTTAAAGGAATTAATTTTGTTGTTTATATCCATATGAATTTATTGGAGAGAATTTTATACATTTGGTACTAAAACTTTGTTATTGATGTTGCCAAGCATGGAGGTTTGGCAAATATTTTGGTCTCCTTCTCCAAACATCTTACTATATGTAACATGTGATTCAAATTGAATTACTCATTCTGTTGGGATTTAAATCCAGCATCTGTCCTTCATAAGCCTACTTTGATAATTTTGTTGAAACATATGGCTGTTCTTTCATCTTATTTCTTTCATGCAGGTTCCTCACCAGGTTCATCTACTTGTGAAGTAAGGTTGTCCAATGTCACCGCAAGCAGTTTGCAGGAGAGGAGAATGACAATGAAACAATTTTCTGTAGATACGCTGGTTCGATGCAACATTTACAAAGAGGGTAGATCAGTATGTTCATCTGAGTTTTATGATGCCCCTATTGGGGGACTTGATTCAGCTGTCCAAGATGAAAGTCTTAACCTTGGTGGCAATAGGTTTGTTTTCTGCAAGCATACTAGTAGAAATAAGTTGAGTTTGAGACCTTTTGCCTTTCTCGTTTCTTAGTAAACTGAAAAGTTTCTTGTTTCTATATAGGGATGCTTGCAATGAAAAAATTGATATTTCCAAGATGTCAGAATTTACCCCACTTGAATCATCTGCCAGTGATAACAGTTCTCTTGCTGTAACTCTTGGAAGTGTTGTATGGGCAAGGACAGCTTGTCAAGTGTGGTGGCCTGCTGAGGTGTTTACTTTTATATCATGCAATATTTGTTGTTTTCTTTTCCTATCTATGTTCTGGTTCATAAGTCAATATGACATGATTAATCAAAAAGAATCCGTAGTTACAGAACCATCCTCTCTTCCGGGAAAATCTGTCATACTTTTGATGCTAGATTGTTTTGAATCCAACCTTCTTAACGTACTAGTTAATTAAATGCACCAGCTTATGACTTTGGTGTGGAGTTTATATCTGTTTCACTATTTTATTTTGAGTTTAATAACCCATTTATCTATATAAATTAATAAAATAAACTTTTCAGATCATGGAAGAAACATCTGAGATATCCAACCCTGGCAGTGGTGGACATGTTTTAGTGCATTTTTATGGAAATCTTCCCAGGTATTGTTGCATATATTTTCGAGATGGAAGTTTCTTGGATTTGCCTGACCAGTCTACTTATGGTACTAAATTTTTCTTACAGTGCCTGGATTGATCCAATGACAGATATTTCAACTTTTGAGGATGTGAGTTATTAATCCTTTTCATGCATTATGCTTTTGTAGAACTTTAGAAGTCAAGTACTCAAGCGACTATCTTGTATTTACATTTCGATAACAGTTAACATCTACGTAAAGGCAAGCTAAAAGTGGAGGCTGATAGAATACCTCATACTCAACTGTAAAATGAATTAAGAAGAGGGTGGAGAAAAGGCTTATATCTCGACTCATTATAAATTTGCTAATATGTTTTCCTGCAGCATATCCCACAATTTTTGTAGTGGACTTTAAAAAAGTGTTTTGTAGTGAGCATATTGTCTCTGCCTTCTATCCTACATTTTTACTTTTAAGTTTATGAATTTCCCTTTTCTTTTCTGTTGAGAGGTGGTTATTGAAGAATTGAGAGAGGCTTTTTTCACTTGGTTCAGTTAAGCAGAACATAAATTTCAACAATTGCGAAGGAGATAATTCTGTGGTTGTTTGCTTAATCACATCTATGCATTATTTATTTATTTATTTATTTATTTTGCAGTCTTTTAAAGAAAGGAGCAATAACCCTTCAGAAGATTTTCAACAAGCTTTAAAGCAAGTATGTTTAATCTAAAGCAAAACTTCACTATGTTTTGCTCCAAAGAATTTTACAATTTGAGTCAACAGAATCTGTATTTCTCTCTTTTATCCCTCCTCCCCCTTTCCTGGTAAGATTTGTTATTTGTATTTTTATTTTATATGATACTAGGCCTTACAAAGGAAGACACAACTTAGTTCTTGCCAAAAGTTGACTCCTGATTGGTCTACTCACTCTGATCAGCAAGAACGTTCATCTGGTATGATTCTGATTTCTATTTTGATGAAATGGGTTGTTGCAACAAGGGTCACAACGGAAGATGGCACAAAATAGAAAAATAGAAGATTTTCATTGGAGTCAACACCTCCTTCATGACCTTTGTTAGATGGCAACTTTTCACTAGGGACTTTGAAATTTCTTATTTCTCAAAGGCTTCTTGGCAATAGTCATTTTACTCCATTGATTGGTTTTCGCACAAAAGTTTGAAGATCAGCTCACTTGTAACTATAAGCTAGGAATTGAAATGGACAATATAATTTAATTTCTCCCAAAATCTCAAACTTCCTTTTCTGTGCAAGGATGTGACTACTAACTACAGTCTACAAACCCCAACAACTTGCCAGACTCCACAAAGGTGCATTTAGGTTCAGTCTCAATTTTGAACTTCTTGAAACACTCAAGCAATATCTGCGACTAAATTATACGATCTTCTTCGTTTATTGACCTTGCGATCATTTTGTTGTTGATGCTGGTATTGAGAAGGTTCGTCCACAACATATGTAACTATGGGGGTTTGTCCACTAATTCTATTGAGGCTTGCTCCCGTCTAACCCACAAATCATCCCCTAGCATCAAATTGCCAAAACCAAAGGAAATCCACTGACTTGTTACACTGCTACAAATTTCCTCCATATTAGAGGGATTTCAGCCAATTTATTCAAGTGAGAAAATTCAGTCAAAGGGAAAGTTGCAAATGTTGGAGGAAAGATTGAGGACTGTCTAGGGTAGTACTGAAGTAGAGAAATGAGAAGTCACAGGGCAATGGTGACTTTAACCCGTGTTATGATGCATGAGGAGATTGAAGTTTATCTAGTCTTGATCACAAAGTCAAGAAGATCATATACTTCATTTGTAGAAATTGTTCAAACGTTTGGGGAAGCTCAAATTGAGGTTGCAACCGGCTAAATGCTCTCTTGGTGTGAAGTCAGATAAGTTATTAGGGTTTGTAGTCAATCAAAGGGGAATTAAGTGGATCCTGACAAAGTTTAAGCAATTCTTGAAATGCTGTCTCCTTGCATAGAAAAGAAAGTTCAAGGGATTTATGGAGAGATTGATTTATATAGCTTGATTCATATTCCAAATAGCAACTATGTGCAAGTCAACCTTCAAATTATAGTGCAAAAGTCAACCAATGGAGTGGAATGATAAATGTCAAAAAGCCTTTCAGAAAATCAAAAATATTTGCTAAGTCTCTATTGGAGTTGTCATTTGTCACAATGAGAGCTATGATAGAGGTGGCAACGCCATTAAAAGTCTTCTATTTTTATGTTTTTTGTCATCCTCTATTGTGATCCTCATTTCAACATAGGTCAAATAGGGAATCTTACCGAGTCCTATGGCTGCATAAACACATTGAATAAAAAAGAAGAATCAGATTTATGTTAGTGAAATTACTAGTAATTTAACCAACACTAATGCTCCATGAGTGTTGATTGGGTTGTTTTATGCATTTGCACACAATTTTTATCAAATAGAAATAGTAGACCCAAAATTGATTCAACTCATTTACAATGATATGGTAGGTCAGTTTTATTTTGTGAATACTTTTACAACACAGGTTTTTGGGACACTTATTTAATAAAGTCTCACGTGCATTGTTTGTTATCAATACATATTTTCATGTGGCCTTGTGTGTTTGTCAGCCTCAATTACAAAACTTTTTTAGACTCTTGTCTCTAAAGCCGACACACACCATATACCAAATACCGGACACTGCTTCACAGTTCATGGCCTCTTCTGACTGAATGTCAATTTGAAGATTATAACTTTCCAATGGCCAATGATGATTTAGAGTCTATTTGAATGCAATTTAGAAAGATTTTTGAGAGTTTCTTTACTGAAAAATAAAGAGTATTTTCCAATAGATAAACTCTTAAAAATCCTTTTAAACCTATATCTAAACATGCTCTTGCACTTTTTGTTTCTCCATTTTTGCCTTTTAATGTGAATTTATGGTTTGAATAGATAAATACACTTCAACTAGCACAAGCAGGACAACTGATGATTTTCAAGTGAGACGAAGAGGGAAAAGGGAACGTAAACCCAAAGTTCACTTTGATGTAAGTTTCTAATTTTAAAACTTGTGGCATGTTACTATTAGAACTTGTTTGTCACGGGCTTAAATGAGTAAATTATCTTCTAGGAGGTTACATATCCAATGAAATCAGAAAGAAAGGTTCGTCGTTTAAAGATAATGCGGTACCTCGGCCTTGCAGCTCCACTTGGTTCACCCTTTTGAGTTTTGGTCATGATCACAAGTAATGCATATTTCAAATGTTTGCAGCCTAGCAGCTCTAATTGTATCTGCCTTTTTTTAACCATAATAATCATGAAATTTGCATATTTTAAAAATTTGCTTCTACTTCTTGCCATTAGGCATTAGCTCTGTAAAATTTTGTAGTTATATAGTCTCGTATATTACATTATTTGTAAAAACCATATGACAATTTGATGGAATATCATATTAGTTTTCCAATAAAAGTTCCATTTAGCACATGTTTAGTTTATATATTTTTATGGTCGTATTTCCATTTTCTGTATAACATAACATCCTATAATTTAATTAAATCTCGCCTGTTAACCTTTTTCTTTTTTGTCAAAATAAGGAAAAAGAATTAAACAAAATCGGAGGGAAACATAAACGTATTGCAGTTGTTCGGTCTTGTTTCATGATCTATTATTAGACCTTATCTGTCAATCCTTAATGATCATTTTGTCCAATGTACATTAATTATTAAAGCACCGAATCGAAATATTTGGTCAAAAATTGAAAATCGTGAATGTATTCTAGGGTGTAATTGGAATATTCTGATTTGGAAGCATCCGTTTTGAGAGGTTCATTATTGTACCATGCTTGAAATTCCGAATCCAGTTTATACTTGATAGAGATTTTGATTAGAGAAAAAAGTGAACTTGTGAGGGGAACATTATCTATCGATGATGAACCAACGTGACTCCCCAACCACTTTGATCTGTATTATTAGTGATTCACAGCGGTAAGTGTTGCAAATAATTTGCCAAATATTCAGTCTCATATGTGCGTCTTATTCAATCTGGCAGAAACATACAATAATGTTTCTAATACCAACATGATGAAAAAAACCAAATGAAAAGCTGGAAATCGAATCAGCCGGAAGAATGAAGTAAGTAAGTAAAAGACGAAAGGGAACACGAAATACTGTTTGAGAAGAAAATCTTGACATTCAATCCACTCAAGTTAAAAAGGCCATTACATCACTTTGGATAAAAGACGCAAATTCAAAATTTCAATACTACACAGCGATATGTTAATCACATTATTTAACCATAAATAGATTTGTTTTTTCAATAATTCATGTTTTATATCAAATTTTAACATAGATCAAGTTTATAAATTTTAAAAAAAAAATAAAAATTATTTGATGTTTCATTTCATTAAAATTCAAATTAACAGATAGTCATAAAATTATTTTATACATTGATTTGAATTAATGAAACAAATTATTAAATGTTTTTTTTAAAATTTTTAAAAATTTGCAAATTTGATCTATGTATTAAAATCTTTTAAATTTAATAATTGGATTGTTGAAATTTGATGTAGAACACGAGTTATTAAACAGAGTAAGTTTAGGTAAACTTACTCTTAGAATAAACGAATTTCTCCTCTTATTTAATTATTTTGACATTTATATATTTATTTTTTGTAAATAATATTTTATGTATTCTTAAACTTATTGAATAACGTGATACTTTAACATTAGACAACAATATAATAATTTTGTATGCATCAAAATTAAACTCTGTATAAGTTGTGTGTTCATAACAATTTTTAATTCCCCCTTTCTATACTATATGACCTGCCTTGTGCTTTTAGTCTCGAGAAAGGAATAAGGAATACCCTTACGATCAGTAACAACACTATTAGGTGACTCCAAGATGGAATTAGAAAAAAAGATAGGAATGAGAAATAATAAAAATAATAACACGCATATAATAGTTTACATAATTATTTGCATAATATATATTTTTGTATTTATCCCTCTCCATTGTTAATAAATTATATTAGTTAGAGAATTCAAATTTACTCTTTCTTTATTACTTCATTATTATATCTCACTTTCCACACCACTTAAACCATTTTATAATTCTTTATCATTGATAAAAGTAATAAATGATGTGACGGATAGAATCGATAGATAGATAAAAACATAATAAATCATTAATAATATATAAATTTGTTGTATAGACGTCATTTTCCAAATGCTATTTACATTATTTTTAAAATCGGCCTTCACAAAAACTAGCTACAGTTGTATGTTAGAGGTTGATGCCTCCTTGTGTCAACTAATTACACAACATAATCATCTTTTTAATTTGTGTTTTATGTTCATTTTTTTTAAAATATTTTAACCATTTTTACGAGTTTAACAACTCATTAAATAAAGTATTGATATGAATGTATTTAATTATTTTACTTTTGGTGCCTATATTTTATTTACTTTAAATGATTTTAGTAGTTAAATAACTCGATCAATAAAATGAGGTGAAAATATTAGAGAAATTAAAATAAATTAATATATTCAAAATAAGTTAACATGGAACAAAATAATACAAAATAAGTCAACAAGAAACCAACTTAAAATGAGAAACTCCAAAATATAAGTGTGAATCTTCCATACTCTAAAATCTTAACCTTGTGTTTTATGTTGATAAATATTTATTTTATATAATAAATAATGTTTTTAAGTAT